CCTCTTCCACATTCCCAAACCTAACAAAAGTGAGGAATTAGAATTATCTTTTCTTGAACTGCTTCTTGGCCGGGTGGAGAAAATTTGCCGCACCCCCACGTAGACTTGAGGTCGTTGTATAGCTGAGTTTTTGGTTTGTATCGTCCATAACGAGGCGTGTTCGTTTACACTCGAACTGCGACACCTCAGCGACCTTTATTTGTAACCAAACTGAGAAGAGATTTCACCATGAATAAATAATGTTTTATCTCTGAAATCAATAAATACATACACATACATACACATACAGACACACACATATATATATATGTGTGTGTGTGTGTGTGAGTGTGTGTGTACGAGATATACGCATGTATATAAATATATGTAAAGATGTGTCCATATATATGAGAATATGTTATTGAAGATAGACACCAACATTCTATCTCCAATAATGAATACCATTCCACAATAATATGACGGCTTAAATATATATATATATATATATATATATATATATATATATATATATATATATATATATATATATATCAGCAGCAGCCAGATTGGCGGAAGATTGTTTGCAACTTTTAAAAATGTGATGGTGTAATTTGAATAGAATGTCTATACATTTCAAACATATCATTATATGTATATATATATATATATATATATATATATATATATATGTGTGTGTGTGTGTGTGTGTGTGTGTGTGTGTATTTAGGCAGAAATACTTCTTTCAAGCACATTTCATTGAAAACGACAGACAAGGTGTTTTTATTTAGTTTTTTATACAATTTCTCATGCGATCTTATAATTCTTTTCTTTTCGGATGATAAATTATATAAAAACTGTTCGAATGTTCTTTTTACCCGAGCGCTTTCGGCTATACATTTAGCCATTTTCAAGGATTATATTTTAACTGTAAACATAAGAAATAGTTGTTGTATGTATGTTTTATAAAATGTTTTCCTTTTTACTTTTTTTGGGTGGGGGGCGGTTTAAAACACGGTCAAGATATTGTGTCCATGTTCAAAGTTAATATTATTAAGTGTTGGTTTGTTTTTTTTTATTAATAAAGCTTCCTTTATTTTTAGCCTTTTTTTGTTGCATGCAGATGATGCTATTATATTAGTGTTGTCAACAAGTATGTTACGAATAGTGTCCGGTAGGTCTCCATGAATATTTAAATGAGCTCTGGTCAGAAAGGTGTAGACTTAGTCTCCGTGTCAAACATGTTGTAGTATGGCCTATATAATTATTTACGAATTTTGATTGATCAGGAATACATTTCCTTAATGGGCATTTAAATTCGTAAATATTATTTGCTCTATTTAATTTTGTTCTAAGAGGTGAATTATTGTTTTTCACTATGAGGTTAGAGGTTTTAAATTTTTTGTAATAAATAATTAATGCATTTTTTATAATGTTCTTAATTCTGAATATATATATGGTTGTCTTTTTCGTCGCGGACGACAGGTTTAGGTTGGTTAAGGATCAACTGCTTCCTCGCGTGAATAAAATGGTTTTCTTTACTGCAAGCGAGAAAGTCAATGTGGCAGTCAGTAGGACAGGGACTCTTCTTTCCAACATGACAGACAAAGAAAACTTGCTGACTTGCAGGTATCGTTGTTAATCATAGCCTGGAATCTCACCAACAAATTCTGGAGTTCTTTTCTTATCAGAATGATCAGAGTGTGTTTCCCGAGCTGCCATACATTCGTAATCACCATTAGACTCATCCAACTTTTTCCGAATCCTCAGCACTGTCCTCAGATTAACACCCAAGCACTCTGAAGTGTTCGTATTGGAGCTTCCGGTGCGAATGTCAAGCACTACATTATGCCGTTTCGAAATTTCTGGTGGAGTGAAATGTGTTATGGTGCTCTTTTTCTCACAGACGATGGCCAACTAACCCTTCTATACTGGGCAGTCGACAAGGTCAAAAACAAAAATGCGCATGCGCGAAATTATAAATATAAAATGGCAACAATTTACCCATTGCACCCTAGAAATTACTCTTCATTCGCCCTCGTAGAATCATCTTTGGTTTTTATTCATAGAAGTTTTCGAACGTTCTACCCATCCGCGTCTCTTTCAGGTGTCTGGTGACAGACCCACTAAATTCTTGCATTTTTAACCAAATATTTCATTGAATCACAGGTGTAGATTGCCTGTTCGTATCGACTTACTTACATATCTCGGCTTGTTTTTTTTTAATCTATCAATCTCTCTCTCTCTCTCTCTCTCTCTCTCTCTCTCTCTCTCTCTCTATCTATTTATCTATCTATCTATCTGTCTCAGCTTGTTTTTATATATGTATCTATCTACCTACCTCAGTTTGTGCATATATATCTATTTAAGTCTTTTCATTATTTTTCTAGCTAGCTATCTAAGTCTGTTCACCTTAATCTATATCAGTCTGCTAATCTTGGTCTTTTCATATCGATCTCTGTCAGTCTGGCAATATCTATCTATCTATCTATCTATCTATCTATCTATCTATCTATGTGCCAGTCTGTTCACATCTATCTATCTATCTATCTATCTATCTATCTATCTATCTATCTGCCAGTCTGTTCACATCTATCTATCTATCTATCTATCTATCTATCACAGTTTGTTCTATTTCTCTATCTGTATTGGGTGATCGAATCTTTTTATCACCAGGAGGAACTTTATCGATGGGGCTATATATATATATATATATATATATATATATATTGACAATAAAAAATATTAAAAAATTAAAAACTTCAGACACACTGGGTTGTATATTAATATTCTTTCGTTTTTATTACTTCGGTTAGATTCCTCGACCAGTTTCGGCCAACATGGACACCATCGGGAGTGATGCGATGGAATAACCTGCCACCCCCATGAGTGGCGGCACTGTAGCTGTTAACCACCTATAAGTATCCGTAAGGACAGCGGACAGGTGAGTCGAGCAGGGATCTACAAGACTAGCGGCCTTCCGATAGCAGCACGCACACAAATGTACTGACTTGCGACGACCGTGCGCATAACTATTACTTGCTTGCTTCGTCGATTCCATATTCCTATTAGCACGGAATATAACAAGGAGAATTTTTTTCTGCTTGCTAGTAGCAGTGAACTACAGAAATGAATGTCTTGAAAATTAACTTTTGTATGTAGTTTTCATTTGTTTTGTTAATTTTTGTTTTTTAACATGAATTTTGTTCAGTCGTTGTGTTGGTCAAACAGTCTCTTTTAAGTTGTTATTTAAGATAAGAGCTGGATGGATTCATGCTGCTCCGAATTCCCTTGGTCATTTTGACAGTTTTATTAGTTCCTGAAAAGTGGATATGTCTCTGTTAAGTGTGTGTGGATGTGTGTGTTTTATTTGGTTCTTAGGGAGAGTATGATGTGTGTAAGCGTGTATATTCGTGTGGGTGTGTGTATAAGTGTCAGGCCTCAACACCTCCGTAAACATGTCTGTCTTGAGAAATGTGAGTAGGTACTGATTTGTGGGGTTATATATTAATACTATCTATTTTGTTAAATTTGTGATCAAGCCTGTCTGGACAGTGAGTTTTCATGGCACTCTAAAATCTTTCTAATGTTATCTGCTCTGAACTTTTCTATTCTCTCAATTATAGTGAATTTGGCATGGGTTTTAAAATCCTGTTTTTCTATGCTGAAATGTTGTTCTACAGGTAATAATCTTTTATGGGGAGTCGACTTAATTCGATAGCGATAATTATTAATTCTGTAGTGAAAATGCCATTCAGATTTTCCTACATATTGTTTCTGGCATAGTGTGCATTCTAGGAGGTAAATTATGTTATGACTTCTACAGTTAGAGTCATGGTAGATTTTGAAAGTAGATTTAGTGACTGAGGTAGTGAATGAATTCGTGTGTCTAATGTGGTTGCAGCATAAGCTTCTTTTGTTGGGAAAATCATGTTGTTTTTGTTGTTGGTGTATTACGGATTACCTTGTCACCTGAAATGTGGTTACTACCTATGATTACTTTTAGGTTTATGGTCTACGATATGCTAGAAAGCCAGGTTCCTTAAACAAAACGTTTAGATCTGGTTTGAGATGTAGTATTTGCCGGCGACTTTTGATTATTCCCCAGCGACTTTTGATAATATATATATATATATATATATATATATATATATAATGGCCTGCCGATTGCGTCTAACATGAAACGCCTGTCGCCTGTTGACTTCAATGTTCACTTTTATATTTATATTTACATACGCTCTATCTCTGATATTGAGCACTTTATCCCATAAATATAGCACACCTTAAAACTATATATATATATATATATATATATATATATATATATATATATATATATATATATATATATATAAAAGAAAAGAAAAGCTGCAAATATTTTTAGTTTTAAGGTGGATTTTTTTGAATATAACATATACTTTATTTTCCATATTTTTTTTACTACACGGGTTCCAGGTTTTCGACCTTCATCAGGCGATGAGTGGATATTTCCACATATTATTTAAAGAAAATCATTTTTCCTTATACTTTTGATTTTTAACCATTGTCTTTTGTGTGTAGCATATATATACTAAAATAAATAAATAAATATTTGTTCCTCGCCGTTTGGTACAATTCTGAGTTTCCTGCACGCACCCACGCACACACACACACACACGCATATATATATATAAGTGTGTGGGTGTGCTTGTCTGTGCGTGAGTATGTAATAGAAAAATGTTAGTTTCAATTTTACTCTAAAGATACGGGGCCGCTCAGTTTTCAATTCTATTTTTTGCCGGCAATATCTTCGCCAATAATAATCTGTTGGTATCAATTTTTGTGTGTGTGTGTGTCGCAACTGTTTAAGTCTGATTTGTAATTTTGTGATGAAAATTGACATGGTGTAGGATCGTGACAATGAATTTACCGGAGATGATTAGGAATTTAGTGAAATTTCAATACATTTTCATCGGAATTATTCGCAGACACAAACGCAGCCACAGATTATGTAAAAACATATTTTGCACACGTATCATTAACGTATGCGCAAATCACCTATTTATCTATCTATCTCAGTCTCTTCTCTATCTATCTATCTATCTATCTATCTATCTATCTGCACCTGCGTATATGTATCTATATATTGAGAGAAGAAAAGATACAGAAATAAAAATAAATGAAAAAAGCGGGAAAATTCAAATGTTATCATTTTCAGCAGCCTTTGTATAACTGGACATTTTAGCCTGTTCACAGTTTTTCATATGTATCTATTTCAGTCTGTTCATTATCTATCTATCTATCTATCTATCTATCTATCTATCTATCTATCTCATTCTGTTCATATCTGTCTATCACATTCTGTTACTATCAGATCTATCTATCTCATTCTATTCATATCTATCTATCTATCTATCTATCTATCTATCTATCTCATTCTGTTCATATCTGTCTATCACATTCTGTTACTATCAGATCTATCTATCTCATTCTATTCATATCTATCTATCTATCTATCTATCTATCTATCTATCTATCTATCTATCTCATTCTGTTCATATCTGTCTATCACATTCTGTTACTATCAGATCTATCTATCTCATTCTATTCATATCTATCTATCTATCTATCTATCTATCTATCTATCTATCTATCTATCTATCTCATTCTGTTCATATCTATCTATCTCATTCTGTTACTATCAGATCTATCTATCTCATTCTATTCATATCTATCTATCTATCTATCTATCTATCTATCTATCTATCTATCTCATTCTGTTCATATCTATCTATCTCATTCTGTTACTATCAGATCTATCTATCTACTTCTATTCATATCTATCTATCTATCTATCTATCTATCTATCTATCTCATTCTGTTCATATCTATCTATCTCATTCTGTTACTATCAGATCTATCTATCTCATTCTATTCATATCTATCTATCTATCTATCTATCTATCTATCTATCTATCTCATTCTGTTCATATCTATCTATCTCATTCTGTTACTATCAGATCTATCTATCTCATTCTATTCATATCTATCTATCTATCTATCTATCTCATTCTGTTCATATATATCTATCTCATTCTGTTGCTATCAGATCTATCTATCTCATTCTATTCATATCTATCTATCTATCTATCTATCTATCTATCTATCTATCTATCTATCTATCTCATTCTGTTCATATCTATCTCATTCTGTTACTATCAGATCTATCTATCTCATTCTATTCATATCTATCTATCTATCTATCTATCTATCTATCTATCTATCTATCTCATTCTGTTCATATCTATCTATCTCATTCTGTTGCTATCAGATCTATCTATCTCATTCTATTCATATCTATCTATCTATCTATCTATCTATCTATCTATCTCTATCTATCTATCTATTTTTTCACAGTTTCTTCACACTCTCTGCCTCTCCTTCTCCCCCTGCCTCTCTTTTCTCCCCAGTCTTTTCAGAACGACTTTAACATTGTAATTATTTCATCTATAACTTTGTATAAAATTTATCCATATTTTTCTTGTTTCTATAACTATATATTTGTCGCTGTATGCTTACCTTAAGCGACATCAGTTACTGACATTATTCCACACAATTCTCACGTTAGAATCATAATTTTCGCTTTGATCCTCTTGCACTGGTAATCTTAGAGTCAAGTCTTCACATTTTCAGTGAATGTCTAATAATACGTGAATCTTTGCCGTTTGAATCTGTAAATTGTTCTTTAGGTAGTATCAATAAAGTTTTATTGAAGTTATTCGTACTATTCTAAAAAAAAAACAACTGACGCCTGAAGGGATTGGGAAAAACCCAAATAATCACATTTGACTTTAATAAAAAGGTAATAAAAATCATTAAAAATTGATCAACACCTATAATAGAACAAATAACATAAGTTTTTGAATCCGTTACATTTTAATATAGTGACATTTCTTCCCAATATCAGCCAATAATCTATTATCCATTGATTCTATTAATTTCTTTTATTTCGTCAGGTTCAATTTCCGACATGTTAGATTTAATTGCTTTCCATTGGTCTGTTTTGCTTTTATATTTTTTGCCACCTTCATATAATTTCATCTTCACAATTGACCATAGATTTTCGATCGGATTCAGATCAGGACTTGATGGTAACCATTACATTATCTTCTCCCCAGTAAATCGTTTATGCTCAAAGGATACACGAGAATATATACATGAGAAGGAGCATTGTCGTGCATAAATACACACTTCACTTTGAAACTGCAAGACTGGGACTTGTACAATGCAAATAAAATCTTGTTCATAAAATCGCAATAGTTAACACTGTTCAGTCTAATTCCTTCATTGACTTTGAATGGTTCAATAATGGTTTAGTCGACAATTCCAGCTCATATTATAACACGACCGCCTCCTTGTTGTTTTCTTTTAGCCACAGGCACGTATGAATTGGATAAAATCCCTCCTTTAGTCCATCCATCAAGTCCATCAAATATCACTCGAGTTTCGTCCATGAAAATTGCTTTACAAAAGTCAATTTTCATGTGTTTCTTGGCCTAATTTTGATGCTTTAAAATATTTGCTTTCGCGAGAGGAGTTTGCCTAATATGTGTTTTTTACAGATCCCAATTCATAAAGTATCCTACACCTTTTGTCCTTCTTGACACCCTCAATTTCAGCTTTTTCAAAGATCTGAGCGCTTCTTGTCAAAAGTGCTTGTTTCGCTATATCTCGTTTAGGTTCATCTTGAGGAAGCAAGTTCTTAAATCCATTTTCTTTGTTTCGAGTTCTGAACTTTCTTATATTTTCAACAGCTTTCTTTATCATTTAATGATCTCTGCAAAGCTTTTTTGATATCTCCAATGAGGACATTCCATCACTCAATAACTTTGTTATTTTCTGATTTTCAGTATTTCTTAAATCCTTACGTTTAACCATGTTTCAACATATAGACAAAAAGAAAAATAGTTTTATTAGATTTCAGAGGTCTAACGCTAAGATTACATTCATCTGCATATTAACTTCAATCAGTCCATTTTTATAAATTCCAAATGTTTCAAAAATGAAACATTAATTGCTACTGAAGACATTAAGTTTAGTATTCCCAGAAAATCATACACAGGACATATGGCACAGTGGATAAAGGTGTGGGTTAGACCCAGTGACAGGACCCACAGAGTTGCGAGTTCAATACTTTGTAAAGGCGGTGGAGAACATGGAGAGGTGAATTAACAGGAGATAACTGATAACTGACATCCATTAGACATGAAGTAGAACAGTCTACCCCAGCGAGCGAAATAAGGGATTGAGTTCTACATTGCAACCATCTGAAGAAGGCCGGAGCGTACAACGTCCGAAACGTTGTAATAAATATGGCAACAAAGATGAGGACAATAGTCCGAATAATGTCAATAGTGTACATAATACCTCATCTCAGAAACATAGACAGATACTGAAAGGCCGAAACGTTGTAATAAATATGGTAACAAAGATAAGGACAATAGTCCGAATAATGTAAATAGTGTACATAATACCTCATCTCAGAAATAGAGACAGATACTGAAAGGCCGAAACGTTGTAATAAATATGGTAACAAAGATAAGGACAATAGTCCGAATAATGTAAATAGTGTACATAATACCTCATCTCAGAAACATAGACAGATACTGAAAGGTCGAAACGTTGTAATAAATATGGTAACAAAGATAAGGACAATAGTCCGAATAATGTAAATAGTGTACATAATACCTCATCTCAGAAATATAGACAGAAACTAACCATTGAAATGGCAGAAAACATAATTAAATATTTTACAAAGGGTGGAAATTGATGAGTTTATATTTGTCAAATATTAGATCAGAACTTTTTGAGTTTAGGTTTATCTAATTTTCATAATAACTTCAAACAGGCTGTCAAGTGTTCGCTTATCATCTGCTGTGTGCCGGTGCCAGCCAACGCCGACCAATATCTTTTCATTGTGTTAATATTGAACTTAAAAAACAACACAAAAAAAAATGCTGAAATTTACAGCATTTTTACCCGCGGGGGAATGAACACCTATTTTGATTACGTTCCGTGTCGTTATCGCACATACTATCGAAACTGATTTTTACTTATTTCATATATATGTTTAGAAATTCTTCTGTTTGTTTAGCTTTGAGAAAACTCTTGTGTTCGTTCTGAGTAATTACATTGTCCACACTTATTTAATCATTCATTGTTCAATGGTTTCTTAGATTATCATGTCTAACACATATCTGTCTTATATATATATATATATATATATATATATATATATATATATATATATATATGTCAAACTATTTATTCTCACTTACACGACTGCAATTACATTTCTTCATATACATATAAATATATATATATATATATATATTTATATATATATGTCAAACTATTTCTTCTCACTTACACAACAGCGAATTACATTCCTTCATATATATATATATATATATATATATATATATATATATATATATATATATGTAAAATTATTTCTTCTGACTTACACGACAACGAATTACATTTCTTGATATATATATATATATATATATATATATATATATATATGTTGCCTCAACTTCCAAACGGTCTGAATCTAATTAAGAGTCAATGAAGAAGGAACGACGACATGAGGTAAATCTTGTGGAGAATTTGTCAGATTTTAAATATCAACCGCAACCGAAGAGACGAATAGAGATCTTTCTGGCATTTTGAACTCTATCTCCCTCTTTCCCTCCCTCTCTTTCTCTCTTCCCCCTCACTCTTTCTCTCGATCTCTCTTTTTCCTTTCTTTCCTCTCTCTCAGTCTATTGCCCTCTCTTTCTCCTCTCTCTTTTATCTCGTTCATACACCCCTTTCTAATCTCACTCTCTCACTTTCTCTCGTCTTTCTCTCCCTCTCTACTATCTTTCTCCTCTCACTTTCCCCTCTCACTCTCCCCTATTTTTCTACCTCTTCTCTCTCTTTCTCATATCTCACCTTTTTCCTATCTTTCCTCTCTCTTTTCCTGTCTTTCGCATCTCTCTCACCACACTCTACTCTCACTCACCTCTCTTTCTCTCCTCTCACCACTCTCCCTCTCTCTTTATTCTCTCTCCTCTCACTTTCCCCTCTCACTCTCCCCTATTTTTCTACCTCTTCTCTCTCTTTCTCATCTCTCACCTTTCTCCTATCTTTCCTCTCTCTTTTCCTGTCATTCTCATCTCTCTCACCACAATCTACTCTCACTCTCCTCTTTCTCTCCTCCCACCACTCTGCTTTCTCTTTCTCGTCTAGCCCTCTCTACTTCCATTATCCTCCTTCTAATCTCATTCGCACTTTCTCCTCTCTCTCTCTCCTCTTTCTCTCCTTTTTTCCTCTCTCTCTCTCCCCCCTATTTTTTACCTCTTCTCTCTTCCTCCTCTTTCTCCTTTCTCCTCTCCTCTCTCTGTTATCATCTCCCTCACCACTCTCTACTCTCACTCTCTCTCTCTCCTCTCCGCCCGCTCTCCCTACTCTCTTTATCCTCTCTCTCCTCTCTCGTTCTCATTTCTTTCACTATCTCTATCTCCTCTCTCTCTCGCTTTCTCTTTCTCGTCTTTCTCCTCGCTCTGTCTTATTTTCTCCTTTCTCTCCTCTCTCTCCCTCTCATTATCCTCTTTCTAATCTCATTCGCTCTTACTCTTTTTCTCCTCTCTCTCCTCTTTCTCTCCTCTCTTCTCTCTTTCTCCTCTTTCTTTCTCTCTCTCTCTCTCTTCCCTATTTTCTACCTATCCTCTTTTTCTCCCCTGTCTCCTTTCTCCTCTCTTTTTTCCTGTCTCTTTCTCATCTCTCTCGCCGGACTTTCCTCTCACTCTCCTCTCTTACTCTCCTCTCCCCGCTCCCACTCTCTTTCTCCTGTCTCTCTCCCCTCTCTTTCCCCACTTTCTCTCTCTCTTTCTCCTCTCTCTCTCTCTCTCCCTCTCCCTCTCTCTCTCTCTCTCGATTGATTGAAGATTAATTTAAATATTGCATGATTCTATTTTGCAGAGAAATACAATTAGAAATAGCATGCGCCATTTTGTTTCCATTTTTGCTAAAACTTCGTCGTTATTCCCATGTTCACTCCATGGCATTCTCAGCATCCTTCTGTAGAAACACATTTCTGTTCCTTCAAGTCTCTTCTTCATCGATGGTACCCAGTATTCACTGACATATAAAACTGATATGACGCAACACTTTAGTACACTTTTTCTTTGTTTCTAACGAATAGGAGTAGATATGTTCACCTAACTCCTCTCTAGTCTTTTGAACAGGAGTAGATGTTTATCCCTTATTTCCTGTTTAGGATTGGGTTTCTGGTGACTTCTAAAGTCTTTTCTTTCACTCTCCGAATTCCCTCGCGTCTTAGTATTGCTATTGCCTTCCTTGAGGTTAATTGATTCAGTTTTTTTAACACTTTGCTTAGCTTTTGAAAGGCATCTTTCGTTATCGCAAGTGCGCCTTCGGATTTCCGTATCGTATTTTCCTTCCTCTGTTAAAACACTTCTTAGATATTTAAATTATTGTACATTTTTGATTCTGGTATCTCCAATTTGTATGTTTAGCTCATCGTCTTGTTAACAGACAATCATTCCATCTTCTTGTAATTGACCCTTAGTCCTTTCTTCTCGCTTTCCTTCACTACTTTGAAAGCATAAAATTACGTACAAAATATTTAAATTTCGGCATTAAATAACCCATCGAGGTGTTGATATGCCGCTAAACAAAATCAACCAACCAGCCAACATGAAAGAACTCTTTCGTAACATTAATCCATATAATATCCTACAATTTCTTAAAGAAATCAAATTGTATTCCAAAGTATAACTTCAACAAAATTACAATATAAAATACACATACCACTGCCTTTAGTAATTATGTCGGCACAGATATATATATATATATATATATATATATATATATATATATATATATATATATATGTGTGTGTGTGTGTGTGTGTTTTAAAAAAAGGAAAAAGTGGATCTTTTTCTCGGTCTTCACTCAGAAATAGAAGCGACACAAGGGAATCAACAAAGAACAGACACAAGACGATGGATTTCAAAATAAAGCATTTATTTATAAATATATATAAAGAAAAAAAGAAAGAAAAAAAAGGAACATTCATTTAACAAAGGGGAAGGGGATCATTAAAGAACAGAGGGGGGCGAGTGAATACATACATATATATATATATATATAAAAAGATCAAACCAAGAGAATCAACTTATCTTTCAGTCGAGTTGATATTTTCACACAAAGTTCTGATTTGCCGAAGCGAGAGTTGTTATGCTACAACAATACTTTGGCCAGCCGGCAATTTTCCTGGATTCATTTTCTTTCACAAGTGTTCGATGGTCCACAGCATCTCGTACAGGCGTTTCGTTGGGTTGATTCAGTTTAATAGCAGTCCTTTCATCCCTAGTCAACAGACTTTGCTGTCTTCTCCATCTCAGTGGGCAGTCCGTTTTGGGAATCGGGGCGAGTTGCCCAGCGACGTTCAACTGTCGCTGGTCAGAGGGAAACTAAAATCATTTTTTAGATTTTTGCTGTCCCCAAATTTTCCTGTTTTTAATACTTTGCTTAGCTTTTGGAAGGCATCTTTCACTATCCCAAACGCCTTCGGATTTCAGTGTCGCACTTTTCGTCCTCTGTTAAAAGAATTCCCAGATATTTAAATCGTCGTACTTGCTTGATCTTGGTATCCCCAATTTAGGATTTGCTTTAAAAAAAAGAAAAAAGAAAAAAGTCCATCTAGTTGTTTACTAAACGTTACTCTATGGCAGGCGCCGATCTTGAACATAAAATGATATCAGATTCGTAAAATGCGGATATATTGTGACTTATATTTTTTTTATATATATTTGAAATGAAGAGTTGGCTTTTGTTTGTAAAATTCGTAATATACTAAAACGACAGCTGATTTGTAGCAAATGGAAGGCTGGTAACCAATTTCCCTGATTACAAGTCAACTTATTGCGATTCGTGATCTTAAAGCTTCATCTCAAGATGTCTCCTAAAAGATCTGACAAAGAAAAAAAAAGTAGTTCATCCCAAAATAAAGCTGTTAATCGTAAAGAGAACAAATGTCACCTGATCGTTGTTCATCATATGCATTCGTTTAAAGAATTTAACTATTTTTTTTTGTTTTTTCTCTTTTTTACTTTTCTTTTTCTTATTAATTTTTTCTTCTTTTTTTTTTATTCGTGAAAAATTGATCGTCTCTTTTTAACGCGATAATTTTCATGAGCAGTAGACGAATTTTTTTTCTTTTTTAAGATTTTCTGAATGACAATTGTATTTAATTATAAAATATGGAAGCAAAGACAAAAAAGACAATCGTGGCAAATCGGAGGTGCGAAAAATAATAATAATAATAATAATTTTTTTCTTTTTTTTTCTTTTTTGTCAGTGAAAAGTGTCATGATGCCATTTCTAACCTTAGGTCCCTGGGCGGGACCCGAAAAGAAATGTGTAAACGCCAGAAATCAAAGAATATAATAAAAATAATAATAATAATAATAATAATAACAACAGTAATTACGAAAAAGAAAGTAAAAACTTGGTAGAAAGAAAGAAAGAAAGAAAGAAAGAAAGAATTCTATAAAATGAAAAACAAAAGGAAGAGAAATATGCATAAGAAGAAGAAAAAGAAGAAGAAGATGGATCGATTGATTGATCGATTTTTTTTAAGGTTTATCAACCTTTTGCCGATTATTCAAACGCAGAAAATAATATTAAATTCTAACAATTTGAGAGAGATAATACTCATTTATCGATACAAATCTGACTAACTGGTTGATAGCAAGTGGATTCTTACCTTGTCAAAGGTTATAGGCGCGTAAGTGAATATAATAAACCCGACGGGAATTGGAACTCAGCTCTCCGATTTGCAATTTCGATCTTTATCTCACCATCCGCACATCCAAGGTGACAGCACCTGGTATTCTCAAGAGGTCACCCATGTAGGTACTAACCACTCTCGACGTTGCTTAACTTCGGTGATTGCCAGCTCAGAAAACGCTGGACGATTTTGCAGCGTTCGCTTTCGCACAAATGCCCTTGGGAATGGCACGAATCCATCAGCCAAACTTCCAACTAGAGCAAGACAGACTAAGCCCCCCCCCCCATATTTGATTGGCAACCTGCCTAGAAGAAGGTCAATTCTGAATCCGTTTGCTGCAGAAATCACAGCGGCAATGCCTGTGGTGGATATGGCCCCTAATCTCTACACGAGGGGAGGGGGGCGAAAGGTTTAACAAATAAAGTGAGAAAGAGAGAGAGAGGGGATTAATGAAGGAGTGAAAAAAAAAGAAATGGAAAAGAAGTGAAGAGATGTTAAGGAAAAACAGCTAAGTGGGTAGATATAAGCTGATAATGAAAATAATCGATAAAAGAAAGAAAGAAAGAAAGAAAGAAAGAAAGAAAGAAGGAAGGAAAAGAAAAACGTTTCATCTTTGCTACCTCGACTTCATCAACTTAAGCGCAGTAGTAAATTGGCAGCTACGTCTTATCACTTCCCAGCTGAAATGACGAGATGTAACCGTAAGTCCTATGCTAATAGTTTCTTCATTCGCATATGGAACTCGCTTCTAGCTTCTTGCTTTCCTGTCAACTTTGATCTTCAAAAATTTAAATGTAATGTCAATCGTTATCTACTGTCTTCTTGATTCCTCTTCTTTTATTTTTTCTCTACCTTAGTAATATTTTTCTTTTTCTAATATTCTTTAACACCCGAGAAGTCCTTGAGTTTTAGTAAGTTTATTGCTTTGCTTGGAGTGAAATGATAAAAAAAATTGAAAGAAAGATTACTGAGTTTCAGTTTTGGAGAACAAGATCTCCGGCGCTCGTATTGGGATGAATGTGTTGCATATGTTCTTTGAGATAATGAGAGAAGTCTTGTTCCGGGGGTTCCGAAACTACAACATTACCTCCCTCAATGCACTAAAGAAGTGGGGTTGGTGAATACTAATGTCAGCGCAAAAAGCGTTGCGTGTATTGGTCGATGAGCACCACACATTTAAAATGAGGTTCTTTCGCATCCTGCCCTCATGGGTCGGTGGGCAAATACAGTTTTGAAATTAAAACGCCATTTTTTTAATCATCATCGGCTCTGTTTCAATTTAAAATCAGCGTTATGCTTGTTTCCGAGCACGCCCATATGCGCATGCTCATTTCTATTTTTGAAACACGCACAGAGTCAGCCTATGATTTATGATGCAACAATTCTGAATGGACCTTAGTTTGGAAGATCAAGTATGCACCCTACCAGGGTTATATACGGTTTTCAATCCAGAATTGTTGGTGTTTAATTTTTTTTTTTTTTTATCAGATTCAAGATTAATTTTCTTCGCTTTTAATGCGTTCAATTTTCTTGGGGAAATTTGTTTTCGTGACGTCAGTGGTTTTCGCGTCTTACATCAGATTGTACAAGTCAAGATTGATTCGGACGATTAACAGTCAAGACAATTCAAATTTGGAAGCCAAATGCGATTAAGGGAAGGAAAAAGTGAAATAAATTTAGGAATGACGAAAAGAAAAGAAAATAGTGGAACAAAGATGAAAGCATGAGAATCGAAAGCGAAAAACTGAAAAAGAAGAAAGAAAGAAAGAAAGAAAGAAAGAAAGAAAGAAAGAAAGAAAGAAAGAAAGAAAGAAAGAAAAACAAAGAAAGAAAGAAAGAAAGAAAGAAAGAAAGAAAGAAAAAAGAAAGAAACAAACAAAGAAAGAAACGCCAGCTTAATCAAAATAAAAATCAATGGAAAAAGAAAGTTAAAAGCAATAAAACCAATCAGGTTTGTAAATGATTTCTGATTGCTTATCGAAGTGATCATTTCTGAGTTTAGATTGATATAAGACTCACTAAAAGAGAGATGAAAACGAAAAAAAAAAAAAAGATTTGATGCTTTCTGCAATGATTTGATCTTTGGTACGGATACGAATCGGGAAGCACTTGTTTTTATCCCTTTCCACATATGC